CACGCGCGGATTCAAATTAGACCTCGCCATCCCTGGGGGGCTGCGATCTGCGAAACTGTCGCCATTTTCGAGGCCTGCTGGGGGGCCCAGCACAGTGGGGGCCACGGGCGATTCAAATTAGACCTCGCCATCCCTGGGGGGCTGCGATCTGCGAAACTGTTGCCATTTTCGAAGCCTGCTGGGGGCCCAGCACAGTGAGGGCCACGGGCAGATTTAAATTAGACCTCGCCATCCCTGGGGGGCTGCGATCTGCGAAACTGTCGCCATTTTCGAGGCCTGCTGGGGGGCCCAGCACAGTGAGGGCCACGCGCGGATTCAAATTTGACCTCGCCATCCCTGGGGGGCTGCGATCTGCGAAACTGTCGCCATTTTCGAGGCCTGCTGGGGGGCCCAGCACAGTGAGGGCCACGCGCGGATTCAAATTAGACCTCGCCATCCCTGGGGGGCTGCGATCTGCGAAACTGTCGCCATTTTCGAGGCCTGCTGGGGGGCCCAGCACAGTGAGGGCCACGCGCGGATTCAAATTAGACCTCGCCGTCCCTGGGGGGCTGCGATCTGCGAAACTGTCGCCATTTTCGAGGCCTGCTGGGGGGCCCAGCACAGTGAGGGCCACGCGCGGATTCAAATTAGACCTCGCCATCCCTGGGGGGCTGCGATCTGTGAAACTGTCGCCATTTTCGAGGCCTGCTGGGGGGCCCAGCACAGTGAGGGCCACGCGCAGATTCAAATTAGACCTCGCCATCCCTGGGGGGCTGCGATCTGTGAAACTGTCGCCACTTTCGAGGCCTGCTGGGGGGTCCTGCTTAGAGGGTAACCGCGGCAGATTCAAATTAGACCTCGCCATCCCTGGGGGGCTGCGATCTGCGAAACTGTCGCCATTTTCGAGGCCTGCTGGGGGGCCCAGCACAGCGAGGGCCACGGGCAGATTCAAACTAGACCTCGCCATCCCTGGGGGGCTGCGATCTGTGAAACTGTCGCCATTTTCGAGGCCTGCTGGGGGCCCAGCACAGTGAGGGCCACGGGCAGATTCAAATTAGACCTCGCCATCCCTGGGGGGCTGCGATCTGCGAAACTGTCGCCATTTTCGAAGCCTGCTGGGGGGCCCAGCGCAGTGAGGGCCACGGGCAGATTCAAATTAGACCTCGCCATCCCTGGGGGGGCTGCGATCTGCGAAACTGTCGCCATTTTCGAGGCCTGCTGGGGGGCCCAGCACAGTGAGGGCCACGGGCAGATTCAAATTAGACCTCGCCATCCCTGGGGGGCTGCGATCTGCGAAACTGTCGCCATTTTCGAGGCCTGCTGGGGGGCCCAGCACAGTGAGGGTAATCGCCGCGGATTCAAATTAGACCTCGCCATCCCTGGGGGGCTGCGATCTGCGAAACTGTCGCCATTTTCGAGGCCTGCTGGGGGGCCCAGCACAGTGAGGGTAATCGCCGCGGATTCAAATTAGACATCGCCATCCCTGGGGGGCTGCGATCTGCGAAACTGTCGCCATTTTCGAGGCCTGCTGGGGGGCCCAGCACAGTGAGGGCCACGGGCAGATTCAAATCAGACCTCGCCATCCCTGGGGGGCTGCGATCTGCGAAACTGTCGCCATTTTCGAGGCCTGCTGGTGGGCCCAGCACAGTGAGGGCCACGGGCAGATTCAAATCAGACCTCGCCATCCCTGCGGGGCTGCGATCTGCGAACCTGTCGCCACTTTCGAGGCCTGCTGTGATCCCCGTTTTCGAAGTGGCTAGGAGTGCTCAGGAATTGTAAACCATCAGCTTTATCAAGCCCTTTTCCTGTAGCCAGTGTCCTGCGAGTCTCCCGAATTCCGTCTGCAGACATATGTAACCCTCGCTCCGTCATCGCCCCTTTATAAAGTATCCTAAACTATTTGCGCCCCGCTTTTGCGCAGGGGTTGGGTACGTCGCCAGGGTAATTTTTCACGAACTTCGGGTTGGGGGGGGGGGGCGTGCGGGCTCCATGTGCTTTTTCAAGGTTCCCCGACCCCCCCCCACCCCCAGTGGAAGTGGAGGGACAAGTGAGGCCCTCGGGTTGGGCTGGGGCCGTCTGGTGGGTGGTGACCACCGCCCCGTCGCGCGGAGCGCGCCAGGGGCGGCGCCAGAGGCGCCGCCAGGGGCGCCCCAGCGCCGACCCGAGAAACCCTCGCGGAGCTCCGGAGGCTCATGCTCGCGCAGAACTGCCCCCCCGCCCGCCGTGCCCCGCCGCCCTTCGGCCCGGCGCGCCCTCCTGCGGGCGGATGTCTGGACGAACAGTGCAGCAGAGTCAGCACATCTTCATCAGCACATCTTCAAATATCTTCCAAAACGAATCATTTAAACAAAACATTAAAAAACAAAACATCAAGAAAAAAACAAAAAAAAATCGTCCCCGGAAAATTTGTTGGGACTCTGCCTGCATGTTCCTCATGTGGAGGGACCCTGCCCGCCGCGCCCCGCCGCCCCGAGCCCCCGCCGCGCCCCGCCGCCCTGCCGCTCCCGAGGAGGGGCACCGCCCGGGGCGGGACCGGCTCGGGGGGAGAGCCCAGAATCGAATCGACAAGTCGGATCGGCGATCGAAATGAATCGGATCGGCGGAAATCGGCAGCCGAGTCGGGAAAAGTCGAATCGGCGGACATCGGCAGGCTAGAATGCCTCCAATAAGAAATCGGAGCCCAAATCGGAAACCCAAGTCGAATCGAATCGGAATTGGAAACCATCGGAATCGAATCGAATCGAATCGGATGAATCGAAACGAGCCCTGGCTCGGGGGGGGCTGGGGGAGGCCTTGGGCCGGAAGCGCCGATGCACCGCCGACAGGTCGGCGACAGTCCAGTCGGGGCGCCGAAGAAGGAGCCCTTTTCGTTGGGGAGGGGCTCGGTGTTCCTTGACTGTTTCACAGCTTGCCTCCGGTTGTCCTTCGGGTGTTCGGTGGGAAGTCGAAGTTCGACTTCTGGAGAAAAGGGGCCTCGGTCCTTATTTTGGGATCCTTAGGTCAACGCCCCGACGGTACAGTCGAACCCGATGGGAGAGGACACGCGCGAGGACACAGGACCCTTCCGAGGGCCACGCTGCCACAGGAGTGCAGGAGGAATGGGTCGCAAGACGCAGGACACGAGGGTACCCTTGATCTGGCAGGGTCGACCTACTCATCCGGGCCGCCTGCGTTCAGGGTTAGGTCGGGCATGTCCCCGTACAGGCGGATTCTGGAAAATGCATCAAAAATCGTCCCCCGACTATTTTTGGATTGTTTTTGAATACCCCCTCCTGTAGAGGGACAGGCCCGACTTAATCGTAGGGGAACGAGCAATGACGTGCACATCATAACTCGGAGGTCCACGCGGATTTCTCGGGTCGGCGCTGGGGCCTCTGGCGCGCTCCGCGCGCCAGCGAAGGGGGTCCAGCACGGGTCCGAGCAATCCGCGCGGACCTCCGAGTTGTTATGCTAATGCCAATGGTTGCGCTCCCCTTAGATATTACCAGCCTGGAACATGTCCCTATCCCTAAGCTGGGCACCGCCTCATCACAATGCCAATCTTGGGGATTCCCTCAGTTTTTCGGGGCGCACCCCTGATATTGTCATCGCCCTTTGGCGTGTCCATCTTAGGGATAGGGATCAGTTCGAGGCTGGTGAAGACAGGCCCCCGACGGCGGGCTCGCACGCTCCCGGGCTCTGGCCATCGCTCGGACGTCCATTCCCTGTGTTTTTGTTTTTTCGGTTTCGTGCGTGTTTTTTTCGCCAAGTGATCAAGAATGCTCCTCGATGGTCCTCGCCGAAGAAAAAACGCACACGTCCGACCGACGCTCCCGGGCAGCGTGGGCCACCTGCCGGCTACGACTTGGCGACTGGGGGTCGACGCATCCTCCCCGGAGCCTATAGCCCCCCGGGGTCCTCCTCCTCTTCCGCCTCCTCCTCCTCTTCCTCCTTCCCCTCCTCCTCCTCCTCCTCCTCCTCCTCCTCCTCTTCCTCCTCCTCCTCCTCCTTCCCCTCCTCCTCCTCCTCCTGGACTCCCTCTACTCTTCCCAATACTTCTCCTCCCCCCCTCTGTCCTCCGCGGGCTTTGGGGTCATAACTCGGCTCTCCGGTGGCTGCTCGGGGCGGTCCGAGCACCCCCAGAGCGCCCCAGGCGAGGCGCAGCTGCTGGAGACGCCCGAAAACCTTGATCCCCGAATCTTCGCCCCCTAAAAACCCACACCTACCGTTGCCTCGGAGCTCCTCTCGCGTCTGCTGCCCTGCCCCCCCCCTCTCCCAGATAAGCGCGTTCCACTACTGGCCTGGATCCGCCGCGGGGGATGCACGATATATTACATCGAAGAAGACATATGTTGTTTCTTTGTCCTGGCGCCTGCGAGTGGGCTTAGGTCGGGCATGTCCCCCTACAGGTCGATTTTGTGAGAAAAATTTTAACAAGGCCAGACATACGGAAACGTAATCGAACAATAATCGAACCATCGCCCCCTGACTATCTTCTTAACATAAATTTCTATATACATATTCCTCCAGTACCGGCGGTGGACAAACCTCCCTTTCGTAAACCTCCCCTTCGTGAAAACGGCCTGAGACCGAAACCGACGGACCCGGACCCGCAAACATGACGGCCGCGGCGCCCTCTCGCGAACCGAAAACGGCCAGTTCCTTAATCGACGTGTCAGGGTACAGTCGGGGCGTTGACCTGAGGAACCCTACAGAAGGAACGCGGCCCCTCTTTTACATCAGTTCAACGTCGATTCCCCATCGAACGCATCAGGGAAACCCGAGGCAAGCTGTGAAAAAATTACAGAACACGGAACCCCTCCGCGACGAAAAGGGTTCCTTCTTCAGCGACCCGACTGCAGGAGGCCGGTCAACCTCCGACGAGTTGCCGCGCAGGCGCCCGGCGAGCCGTGGAGCGCGCTCGGCGACCTCCGCGGGCCGAGGGCCCCCGACGGCAGCAGCGCACCCGCCGCCCGCGGGCAAGCGGCGGCTCCGAGCGCCCGCGCTCGGCCGCCCCCCGGGGGCGCGCGCGGGGGCGCCCCTCAGCCTTGGGCGCCCGAGGTGGGCACGGAAAGAATGGGCACAGTGCCCAACAACAATGCCCAACAACAGAAGTTATCCCAAACAATGCCCAACAACCAAAGTAGTCCCAAACAATGCCCAAGAATGGGCACCATGCCCAACCACAAAAATTGTCCCAAGCCAACAGCGGCCGCTGTTGGGCAGGCGGCCTTCCGTCTCAAGTGGGCACAGGCCGCGGCGGCGCGGACAGCGAGTCCTGGTTCAGAAGGAGCAGGAGCTGCTGCTGGGCATGGTACCCATGCTTTCCGTACCCACTTCGCTCGTGCCGATCAGCCGCCGAGGCGGTTCCCGGAGCCGGAGAAGAGCTGGAAGCTCTGCGCCTGGCGGGCGCAGCACTCCAGAGGCCTCCCATCTGGGGTCCGAGTACCGTCGGACTTCCTTGGGCGAGTGGGACGCACAGGGACATACCACTACGATGTGCCCTCCTCGGAGGCGCGCGCGCGCGCGTCCGACCCGAACATCCAGTAGACCGCTCTCGTAGTAGATCGTTTCCCGAGCGGTGTGGCCAGGAAGCGCCCGCCACGACGCATATGCTAGAAGATTTCTCGGGCGACGCACATATAGTGTAAGTATGATGGAGTGACGCCGATCGAAGGATCGCGCCGCATCGCCAATGCATCGCCGATGTATCGGCGCGATACATCGGCGATGCGTCGGCGACGTCGGCGATGCATCGGCGGCGCCGGCGTGGAGAAAAGCGGGCTGCACATCGAGCCGCATCGCCGATGTATCGACGACGCGGCCCAGTCCTCCGACCCCATCTACTCGGACCCCATCCAGGAGGCCTAGAGCACTTCCACATAGGGGCCCAGGGACGCACACGTTCTGTCCTCAGCGGCGAGGCGGCGAACTCCGCTCCAGCGAGAAGCTGGACATCGAGCACTAAGTCGCGAAGTGGCCGGCCAGCAGAGAGGGGGGGGGACGGCCGCGAGGAAGAAGGGACGCTCAGACGTCGGAAGAGTTCGAAGATGCGCAGCCAGGGGAGCAGCCATGCGCGCAGGGCCAGAGCGTGGTAGGCGGCCGTGGCGAACCACGGTGGCAAGGGCGGCGGGAGGGCGGCAGCCAGCTGCTGAGCTGGCGGGCGGGCGCAGTGGGACACAGGGACGCACACGGAAATGGCGATGCCCCACGACAAAAAATCTGTCCAGGACCGACAGCGGTCACTGTTGGGCAGGCGGCCGTCTGTCTCAAATTCGGAAGCTGGGCGAGGGCTACCAAAATGGCTTGCCCGGAAGAAACATACAACTTGTTGACGCTTCGCGAATCCCAACCAGCCCATCCAGAAACGATGCCCAGAGGAATTGCCTCGATCAGGGAAATTGGCAGCACACAGAGGAAGCCATCATGAGGCATCTTGGGGTATCTTGAGCCATCTTGGAGGTCATTTGGGGCTCTCCCAGGCGCTCTTGATCTTAATCAGTGCCCCCCCCCAAGAGGCCAACATGTGGCTTAAAACCTTCGTACAATCAATGATTTGGCGTTCTCGCCGAGGCCTCTTGGAGCATCTTGGGTGCCTCTGGGGGGTCTCTTGGGGCCTCTTGGGGGTCTCTTGGGGGCCTCCTGGGGGCCTCTTGGGGGCCTCTTGGGGCCATCTTGGGGCCATCTTGGGACCTCTTGGGGCCTCCTGGGCGCTTCTTGGGGCCATCTTGGAGGAGATCGATCAAACAACAGGGGAGCATTAATGATCGTCCCCCCCCCCCAGGAGGCCAAAATGGAGCCAACACACTAGTAAAACCAATGATTTTGGCTTCCTCGCCGAGGCCAGTCTGGCATTCTCGCCGAGGCCTCTTGGAGCATCTTGGGTGCCTCTGGGGGTCTCTTGGGGGCCTCCTGGGGGCCTCTTGGGGGCCTCTTGGGGCCATCTTGGGGCCATCTTGGGACCTCTTGGGGCCTCCTGGGCGCTTCTTGGGGCCATCTTGGAGGAGATCGATCAAACAACAGGGGAGCATTAATGAGCGTCCCCCCCCCAGGAGGCCAAAATGGGGCCAACACACTAGTAAAACCAATGAGTTTGGCTTCCTCCGCGAGGCCGTTTGGGCATTCTCGCCGAGGCCTCTTGGCGCATCTTGGGTGCCTCTGGGGGGTCTCTTGGGGCCTCTTGGGGGTCTCTTGGGGGCCTCCTGGGGGCTTCTTGGGGGCCTCTTGGGGCAATCTTGGTGCCATCTTGGGACCTCTTGGGGCCTCCTGGGTGCTTCTTGGGGCCATCTTGGGTGAGATCGATCACAGGAGGGGGGGTGCTCAATTAGCGTCCCCCCCCCAAGAGGCCAAAGTGAGGCCAAAACCGTAATAAAACCTATGATTTTGGCTTCCTCGCCGAGGCCGTTTTGGACGCTCCGACGACTCGCGACCCCCCCCCGTCCAGGTCCAGGGGAGGGGGTAGGGGGAGGGGTAAGCCCCTCCCCGAAGGGGAAAAAGGAGGGGTGGAAGAGGAAACGCTCTAAACCACCGACGCCCATAAGGCTGGTGGGATTCCATGAATAAAACTCAACGCGCTAGATAATACACGGGTTGCTTCCCGGAAGAAGGAACACTTTCCAGGAGCTCTATTTTAGCAGCCACGGGTTTGCCAGCCTTCGCCGGGCTTCTGACAAATGGAACGGACACCGTCCGCGGCGACGCCGTCTGCGAGCCCTGTTCCAAAAGATTGGCAGGACAGGCAGCCGCTCTTCGCACCCCCGGCGGGCGCAGCACTTTCCCATGGAAGATCCTGGCGCCTCAATTTTTTGTTCGAGTCAGGCGCCTTCGCCCCTCTTCGGGCCCCAGGGCCCTCGCAGATCGGTCCGGAGCCGAGAAAGGGCTGGGATTTCTGCGCCTGGCTCGGCCACACGTGCAAGAGGGACCGTGGTAGGCGGCGCGCCCGGGGGGGTGAGTGAGAAGGAGAAGGCCTTCTCAGAAGGCTCGGAAGTTCCCGGGACTTCTGAGAAGTTTTCCAAGCTTTCCCTGAGGACAGGACAAACTTCTCAGAAGGCCGGAGGTCTTCTGAGAATTCCCCCCGCCTTCTGAGAAAGCCCTCTCCTTCTCATTTCCCCCCCTCGCTCGCTTCCGACGTGGGCAAGAATAACTTCTGGTGCGCGGACGGAGGGGGCGCAGGGCGGCGAAGTCCGAGCGCGCAGAATCAGCTGCTGTCGCATCGCGCTCGGCGGCCAGAGGGGCTCCGAGCCCGCACCAAAGGCCACTTCGACGAAGGGCCACTCTTACGTTTGGGTCGGGCATGTTCCCCTACAGGCGACTTTTAGAGGAATAATAAAAAGATGGTCAAACAAGAATTCAAACGTACTAGGATTGTCCGCAGACTTTTCTTGCATTATTTTTTAATATTCCTCCTGCAGAGGGGTATGCCCGTCTGAATCTTATGTGCAGCCGACTCGCGGGGGCGGGCGCAACACCTCCCCTGCAGATCCTGGCGCCCCAGTGCTCTCGAGCTGGGCGCTGCCTGCAATTTCGTGGGCTCTCGGGCGCGCGCCTCAATTGCGCTAGCGCCCCCATGCCAGCGTGGCGAGCCCCCGCAGATGGATGCCCTGCGCGGGAGGGGCTTGGTGCGTCGCATTGCGGCACGAACAACCCACGTGGCGGGCAAACAAACCCAAGGTGCTCCCCCGAGGGACAGGACGATTCTTGGCGCGCGCTCCGAAACGTACTGACGCCCGACAAAAACAGGGTGCGCTGCAAGTTTCAGCTTCTTCGGCAGTGGTGCAAGCTTCCACGCCGAACTGAAGTCGCAGAGACCCATGGCCCCTTGGCCAACTACAGGGTGTTTCTTGTCATGCGGTCCGACTGTATCGCTTGAGACGGAAGATGGTCGAATGATGACGTCAAAAAGAACAACCACGTGCAGCGTTCACACCGGTGGGAAGCCTAACACGCACTTAAACGTATGGTGAGTCTGGGAAGAGACTGGGTCGTGTTCAACATATGGTTATCGCTTGAGAAATGTTACACATGTTACGGCCGGAGCTGCTACATGATGCAACAGCTTCACGGATTGAGGTTGGCCCTAGGGCTGCACGTCTTACAGCCATAAAGATGAAACAGGCAAAAGGGGCGTCCGCATTTCAACAAGGCTGTCCCTCGCGGTGAAATGGAACGCTTCACCGCACGGTGTGGTCACCACCCCGTTTGGTGGCCCCCGAGCTGTGGGGGGGCGTCGGGGAGGCCCCGGGGGAGGGCGTCGGAGAGGCCCCCGAGCAGTCAGCGTGGGTTGCAGCAGCACGCGGGGAACGGGGGGGTGCTGGAGGAGGGAGCTGGACCCCTGCTCCCCCCCCAGCGTCCTTCCTGCACGGGTCAATCGGAGCATGTGTGTGCTCGCGCGCATCATCTTCTCAATCTCGCCAAGAGGCTCGACAACAAGGCTGAACATAAGCAGTGTTTTTCGTTTTCGTTTTGTTTTCGTTTTCCCTCGCTTTTGTCTCGAATCCGCCTTTACCGATAAACGAAATCGAAACGAAAACGGCCCACGAAATCACCAAACACATCGTTTAGGTCCAGCCCTGCTCGACAAGTTCGCTGCGCGCCACCTGTTGAGCACCGACCGTCCTGGCATTCTGGTAGGCCGACCACGAAATTCTCTCAGAGCAAACGGATGTTCTATTCAAGGACTGTCTTTAGTTTTGCGCCCCCCCTGTTTTCTCGGCCGAGACTAACCTCCCCCCTCCTCTTCCTCCTGGTCCTCCTCTTGCTCCTGCTCCTGCTCCTGCTCCTCCTGCTCCTCCTGCTCCTCCTGCTCCTCCTGCTCCTCCTGCTCCTCCTGCTCCTCCTGCTCCTCCTGCTCCTCCTCCTCCTCCTCCTCCTCCTCCTCCTCCTGCCCCCTCCTACTCTGCCTTTTCCTCCTTTGTTTCCTCGCCCTCCTCCTGCTCCTCCTTCTTTTCCTCGTCCTCCTCCTGCCCCTCATCGCCTCATTTCTACGGAGGATGACGAGGAGCGAAGAGGAGGTAGGGGGGGACATCGTTGCCGTCGTCATTGTTGTGCGGCGGGCGCCGCGGAGAAATCATCAAACCAGCCCTTTTATGGCGTAGGTGGTTTAGGGTGTTTCCTCTTCCACCCCCTTCTTCACCTTCGGGGAGGGGTTTACCACCTCCCCCTACCCCCTCCACTGGACCTCGTCGGGGCGTTCCGCGAGTCGCCGGAGCGTCCAAAACGGCCTCGGCGAGGAAACCACAATCACTGGTTTTACCAAGGTTTTGGCCCCGTTTTGGCCTCTTGGGGGGGCGGCGCTAATTGAGGCCCCCCCTTCTTTGATCGATCTCCTCCGAGATGGCCCCACGAGCGCCTTCAAGGTTCCTAAGAGTGCCCCAAAGGGGCGCCAAGGGGTGGCCAGGCGGCCCCAAGAGGCCCCCAGGATGCCCCCAAGGCTCCCGGTTTTGGCCACATGTTGGCCTTCTGGGGGGGGGGGGGGCACTGCTTAAGCTGATTCCAAGAGCGCCTGGAAGAGCCCAAGATGACCTCCAAGATGGCTCACGATATCCGAAGATGCCTCAAGATGGCTCCCACGATGCTCCATGAGGTCCTAAGACAGGCCGCTCCAAGACGGCTCCAAGTGGCCAAAGAGCTCCCCCAGGATGCCCCGAATATGCCAAAGCCCTTCCAAAATCTTTGGAACACCACTGTTTTTGGCCTTCTCTCGCCCTTTCGCTTCCGATGGCCGTCCGAGGGCTCAAGGTGGCTCCAAGATGGCCCAGGAGGGCTCCGAGGGCGCTCCCAAGGCTCCCAAGAGCGCTTCTACGGGGCCCCAAGAGGCGCCCAGGAGGCCCCAGGAGGCCCCAACAGGCGCCCGAGAGGCCTCCAAGAGGCTCCCAGGAGACCCCCTAAGAGGCCTCAAGAAGCACTCCTGAGCACCCAAGACGCTCTAAGAGGCGTCTGGGACCGCCAAGAGTCCCCCAAGACGCTCCAAGAGGCCTCCACTGGGGGACCCTTCCTCTGTGTGCTGCCCACTTCCCTGATCGAGGCAATTCCTCTGGGCATCGTTTCTGGATTGGCTGGTGGGGTTACTTTTTGCCAGCGACCGCAGGCGAGAGCGCCAGCGGCGAGTCGAGTCAGAGCGGGCCGCGCAAAGACGAATTAACCTAAAACGGTGGGCCGGATCCTCACGCGGCACCTCGGCGGGCAGGCCGGAGAGTGGAGGGGTGCTGGCTGCGGCTGCCAGGGAAGCTGCGCTGCCAGGGGATGCGCGCGTGCAACGAGCTGCAGAGAGGCCGACTTCCAAGGGGGCCGACTGCCAGGGTCTGCAAACTGCTGAATTGGATGCATAGGGTGAGCACCCTAAGGACTGCAAAGTACCAGGGTGGCCAGAGCCACTGCTGGTGGGGTTACTTTTTTGATTAGCGGCCCGCAAGGAAAAGTCCAGAGGGCGTAAGGACCGAGGCTGGGGCACAGCGCAGGATAATTAGGCTGGTGGGGTTACGCGAAGCGTCTAGAATTACTTACAACTATTGGTTGGACCCCATTCCGTCCAGAAGGGCGTCGAAAAGATAAGTCATTCCCATTGTGGGGGGGGTCTAAAGACCTATCACGGTTTACGACAAGAACATTAGTATTTACAATTGAAAACGATGGATCAAACCAAGACTGCCTCAACCCAGAAATGCTCTGATAACATGTCCTGCAAACCACCAAGTGTTATGAGAGCATTGGCTGGTGGCCTATCGGCAGGTCAACACGCTTCGCCGCTGCTTTCATCCGACCCCTCCCACGCTCCTGGCCCCCCATTGAAAAACGTCTTGTTTTGTTCGCGATACCGGCCGCCCCCCTTCCCCAGTCAGGTCACGTTGCGTGCTGACCTCCACGCTGTCTTATGAGTTATTCCCAGACGTTCCCACACGGCGCCGGCGCGTAACGTGACGTCACCGCCCCCCCGTCCCCAATCCCCCCCCTGGCAACGCCCGCTTTCGCCCGGGATTTAACATGATGGACCCACGAACCCGGAAAGGGATATAGAACCGCATGCATGGAAACGTTTTCACGACACCGTATTGGGCGACGGGCACTTCCACGAGACACCCCGCGAAACACTCCACGAGACACGGGCGACCGTTTTCAACGTTTTCCTGGAAACATTCCACGAGACACCGCGCGAAACAGTCCACGAGACACCCCACGAAACATTCCACGACGACAGGCAAACACTCAATCGAGGCGGTGTGGTCGTGCTGGGGAGTGGTCGTGCTGGGGTGTGGTCGTGCTGGGGGGTGGTCGTGCTGGGGGGTGGTCGTGCTGGGGGGGTAGTCGTGCTGGGGGGTGGTCGTGCTGGGGCGTGGTCGTGCTGGGGCGTGGTCGTGCTGGGGCGTGGTCGTGCTGGGGTGTGGTCGTGCTGTGGTGAGGTCGCAAGCGATTCGCTCGAGACATCCTCGGTAACTCTGCGGAGCAAGCGTTTCGCTCGAGACATCCTCAACACACGAAAGAGTGGCCCGCACCCTGTGATTTCTCAATCGGGATTTCAAAAACAAGCGTTTCGCCTGAGACATCCTCAAACTTTAATACGCCGGCCCACCTCGACCTCGATATTTATCAGGGAAAGAATCCGACGGCCCACCTCAGTTGAGGCACCGGGGACAGGTTTATCACACTAAAAGAGAACCATGGGCCTGCGCCCTTTCCGGGAAAAAAAACTTTCTCCGCTGCCGTTTTCTGGCTCCTTTTTTGGTGCTTGGCGCTATGGCGTGCCCCCGCCGAGCTCGCTCTCCGCAGATCCGCCTGCGCCCTCGGCTTCCCACTCCTCCTCGCTGCCCCGGGTGCTGCCGGAAGCGTCCCTGGCCCAGACGGTACTCCCAGCTGCTCGCGCCATCTTACAGCCTCTCTGGGGCCCTCTGGGCCGCGCGAGGGGTGCTCTGGAAACCATCTCGTCTCCTGGGGAAAGGCTGGGACTCCCGAGATGCTATATCCATGCGTGCTCGATGCGGAGCCCCAGAAGCCCCGACCCTCTCCCCAAGGCAACTTCTCCATCGCAAGTCTTTTTTTCCGACGGCCCTCGGGCCCTGCGAGGGACCCCAGAGGCCGAAGGTCGTCGGCAAGCCTCCCGCAGTGCTGCGTGCCACGACGCGAGCACCTCTGCTTTGGACGCCCGAAATGGGTACCGAAAGAATGGGTACAGTATCCAACAGCAAATGTTGTCCCAAACCAACAGCAGCCGCTGTTGGGCAGGCGGCCTCCTGTCTCGAGTGGACGACGGGCGCGGCGGCGTGGACAGCGAGCCCTGTTCAAAATGAACAAGATCCGCTGTTGGGCATTGTACCCATTGTTTCCGTGCCCATCTCGTTCGTGCAGATCTGCGGCTGCCTGGGGCCAGGGCCGCTCCTCCCGCAGCACCCGGCCGCTGCTGCCAGGGACCTCGGCCGAGACGCCCACCTCCCCGGGCCCGTGGCCGCGCGCCAGGGCCCGCAGCATCGCGTACGGCAGCGTGAAGGCTCTTCGGAGGCAACTCGCGGGAGTCTCCCACGCCCTCCTGCCGGCTTGTGGCGAACCCACGCTCACCGACGCCTGTCGACGCCATCTCGACGACAGTCGACGCCAGGTCGGCGCCTTCGCATCCTGCTGGCTTTGGCGAGCCGAGGCTAACCGACGCCATCTCGACGCTAGTCGAAGCCAGGTCGGCGCCTTCGCATCAATCATACCAGACGCTAGCGCACGCCAGTGCGCTCAAAAGACGGAGTTGCGAGGACGCGCCAGGTTCCCATGACTTGCTACCGACTGAACGCCTGGTCGCCCATGCGCACGCGCACCAGCCGGCCCAGCGAGTCGTCCTCGCCCCGGTATTCGAGGCCGACCTCGGAGGAGCAGAACACTGCAGAAACATAGGAACTTTCGGAGCCCGCGCGGGTCTCTTTGCATCGGCGGGGCCCTCTTCCCTGGCGCGCGTGGAGCGCCAGGGGCGGCGCCGGAGGCGCCGCCGGCGATCCAGCGCACATCCAAGAGACTTGCGCGGAGCTCCGAAGATGTATGTTCATGCCGTTCCACTTTTTTCGGGGATGGACAGACCCCCTTTTAGTAAAACGTGCTTTAGTGAAAACGACCTCGGGCCCAAACCTGGCGGGCGCAAGCCTGGAAATAACGGCCGCGGCGCCCTCTCGAGAACCGAAAACGGACAATTCATTAATCGACGTGTCACTGTTGGGGGTTCTGTCCACCCCCGATTCTCCTTCGAGACCTCGAAGCCGTCGTCCACGGGATCCGGGTCCTCTGGGTCGATCTGCTGGCCTCTGCGGCCACGCGCACCACGCGATCTCGCAGGCAAGAGAGTGCGGCCTGGGGCGCGCGGCCCTCCGATCGTTGCGTGCCGCGCGACAGCCCGGAGCTCCGGGCGCTGCACCTTTCCACGCCAGGCATGTTCGCGGGGGAAAAAATACAAAACAGACACACACACACACAACAAAAAAAAACACACGCACACAGTGTGTGTGTGTGTGTGTGTTTCCCACAGTGCGTGTGTTTTTCCCACAGTGTGTGTTTTTCCCTACAGGCTCTCCTCCAGGCGTTCCCCGAAAGGTTTCCACATCGGCTCGGCGTTCGCCAGGTCCGATGCTTTCTGTCCAGGCTCTGGACTAAACAACGTCTGGCCACAGAGGCGCTTTTCAAAAAGGCAGGGGCCGGCGGAGACTCGCCGTAGGCGTCCTCGATACCGATACCGCTTCTCCCTGGACCTCTCCAGGGTGCGTTCTTACCGGAATTTCGAGGCGAGTCTAGCCGTGGCGACGATGGCCTCCAAGGAAGCCCAAAAGGGCGAGAACGAGACAAGGCTAGCAATATCGATACCTTTTCCTCCTATGAGTTCTGGAGAAAGGTCACTCTTGCGTGGTGCTGGCCTCTGTTGTACCGCTGTGCCTCGCTGTGCATGTTCTCCACCGTCATGGGCAATGCAGAATCTTCCAGCGACGGGTCCTGGCCCCGGCGCGGCAGCGGCCACGAGGTGTGCACCGCCCAACAGCTGTCGAGCACAAAGCCCCAGGTCTCGGGATGCCTAAAAACAACCTTGGTCGGCGTCTCCCGCATGCCCCGCCTGGGCCGACCCCTGATGTAGCTGCCGAACCGGGGCACATGCGGGCCTCTGCCAGGCCCTTCCGGGTGCGTGACGTAAACGACCCCAAACCCCCCAAAAGCGCCACTGTCCATGTTGGACAACCCTCTGTCGCTGGATTGTGCACTATGAGTCACGTCTACACCGCAGTGCGGGGGTGGCGACTGAGAGAGGGCATGTCACTCCTCGACCAAAACCTTGCCCCGATTCGTGGCCACCGCGATCGCCGCGGCGACCTCCAAAACAGATCTGGAGGCTTGGATCGGGGTCGGAACTCACGCATCGACCTTCGTCGGCGCCGCCAGCACCCTCGGCGCCGCCGTCGTAGACGCCCCGACCCCAGGGCCCGTCCTTGCAGGAAGGGAAAATGACCACAGCCACTGCTTCTTGTTTGCGCCGCCTTCCAGCCGGCCGAGAAAGAAGCAGTGCTTGTGGTCATTTCCCTGGTGCCAAGCGTAACGAAAATGACCACGACCACTGCTTTGTGCCTGCTGGCCGGAAGGCGGAACCAAAAGAAAAGCAGTGGCTGTGGTCGTTTTCACGCCCCGTAGTCCTCCTTGCCGCAGCACCTGAGCGACCAGCAAAAAGCCAGCCGCGCGCGGGATGGCACAGCGCGAGCGGCCCGCGCGGGCCGCCCGCGCGCACGCCGCTCTGGAGACGAGGGCGCGCTACCCGCGGCCCTGCGCGGGGAGCTCCCCGCGCCAGTCTTCGTGCAGCCGACCCCTTGCCATCGCTCGCACGTCCATTCCTCGTGTATGTTTCGATCTCGCGCGTGCTTTTTTTCGCCAAGTCATCCAGGATGCTCCTCCATGGTCCTCGCCGAGGAAAACGGGCGTACGTCCCGAGCGATGTCAAGACCCACTGTTCCTCCGGCGCTCACCTGGGGACGAAGCGCCACGTGCCGTCGCCGAAAGGCCTCTGCGAATCTGGGTCGATCCAGCAGGTCGTGTGGTCCTCCCGGCAGCGGAAGCTCAGCGGCCCGGCGGCCGCGCCCCTCCACCACGGGTCGCTCTGCGTGAAGTGCTCCCCGGCGCTGGCCTTCATGCGGTGCCACCACTGCAGCTCCACCAGCTCCTCGGCTCTGATCCAAGTGCGCCTCGCGTCGAGCAGGGCCTCGCGGAAAGCGCGCCGCGGCTCCAGCTCGCGCGCGCGCCGGATCGCCGCCGGGATGTACACCTGAGCGGCGAGAAGAGCAGTGCCTTCTACGCACGCGGGCCGCCAGCGCGGCACACCGCGCTGAGAAGAGGGCGCTTGCGGTGGGAACCAGAAGGTGCTGATACTGCTGCTCCCAAGACTGCTCCTGGGGTCGCTCATGGCGAGACTCTTGAGGCGAATCCAGCCGTGGTGACGAGGGCCTCCCAAAAAGCCCAGAAAGGCGAAAACGCGGGAAAGGAAGCGGTATCGGACCCCTAGCTTACGCGCGACCTTGCGCGGTAAACTTACAAGTGAATGTTCGTGCAATCGACCGTTTTATTCCGTCTTCGGTGGGAACTCACGGGAGCCTCCCATGCCGTCTTGCTGGCTCTGTCGCCTCGACGCTCACCTACTCTAACCGACGCTAGCCGATACTACATTGACGCTGATCGACGCCAGATCAGTGCTCGCTCATCGATTACTGGACGCTGCCGCGCGCTGGCGCACTCTCACGACGGAGCTGCGACCACGACTTGCGACGGAATCCGTCGCTCGCCTTGCCCTTCCACTCCCTGTCGCACAGCGCCCCCCACACGGCGGGGCCCAGGCTCACGGCGCTCCAGAAGCGGCCCGCGGCGCCGCAGCGCAGCACGTCCGCGTGGCGCAGCATCGGCAGCGACAGCAGCAGCACCAGCTCCGGCGCCGTCGAGCCCGTCGGCCGCGGGACCGCGGGCAGGGCGCCGGCCATGGCGGGGGTCTACCATCAGGTCGGGCCTGTCCCCCTGCAGGGGGATCTGGGGCGAAGAATGCAAATGGTCAAAACATACCCCCAACATCTAAAAAAACTGCTCAAACAATCGTCCCCCGACCATTTTTATGACTATTTTTGAACACTCTTCCTGCAGAGGTACAGGCCCGACTTCGGTCTACCAGCCTGAAGCACATCCCTATCCCATGATTGGCATCACCTCACGGTTGGCCTCGCGAAGATGGCGTGCCACATCGACCTCCGAGAAGCACGTGAGCCCTGTGGAGGCGATCCCCCCGCGAGGGCCCCTTCGGCGCACGCAGTCCCCCTGCAAGGGACTCGCCGGTGCACACTGTCCCCATCTCCAGGAAGGAAAAAACACACAGACACAATAAGTCGTCGATTCCCCAGAAAATATTGGAAAATATGGGAAATGGGGGGGAAGACAAAGGCCCAGAAAATATTGGAAAATATAGGGGAATCCTTTTATTTGTGTATTTATTTGTGTGTCCTGGGGCCCCTTCATCTCCCTGCCAGGGCGCCCTCGAAGCACACAACCCGCAAGGGTGGGGGATGGCGCGGAATGGAGCAGGCTGGCGGCGCCACATCGCACGCTATCTCTGCAACGCCTACCCACTCCTCCTCCTCCTCCTCCTCCTCCTCCTCCTCCTCCTGCTCCGGGGGTTCCTCCCCAAAATTGCCAGTGCGCTCTGGCTTCTCGGTCCGAGGGACGGGGATGCGCTCGAGACTGGTTCGGGGGTGCGCTCCGGGCGCCGACGGGTCTCGCGCGCGGATGGCTGGCCGTGGACCTCCCTCGCTCCCTCCTCCCCTGGCCATCGCTCGGACGTCCACTCCCTGTGCTATTTTCGGCTTCGTGCGCGTTTTTTTCGCCAAGGGTCCTCGCCGAGAAAAAAAACACACGTCCGAACGATGCCAAGTCCCCTGGCGCCCAGGTGCACAAAAAAAAGCTCCGAGGCCGCTAGGGCAGCCGCAGGGAACCCTGCAGGTGGCATCAGGGGCCTGTCAGAGACCCGACAGAGTCATTGCAGCTGGCCCGAATGTTCGCCCAGCTGCCTCCGTCGACTGGAGGAGCAAACTGTCCAGCAGCTTGACAAAATCTTGGCCCGACGTCTGGCCACAGATGGGTCTCACCCTAAAGCAGGAAAGCGCTGCCTCCCCAGAGGTGTTTTTGTACCCTCTGCCTGTGGTTCACCACAGGGTGGCTTGAGCGCGCCAGACTTCAATGATGTCCCAAACCAAGCCACAAAGACTTCCGCCAGTGCCGCCGTTTACATCCGTCGTCTGCATTTCGACTCAAGACGGCTCCCAAGACGATTCCAAGGCATAGAGGGCCCAAGCACTTACCCTCATTGCCCAACCAATTTCGAAGAATTATGCCCCATACATGGCCCTCAGAGACCTAAGATATCCTCAGATGGCCCAATGCCTAAATGCCTTCAAAATGCAACCAGCATGGCCATGAAGCTTCCTACACTAGATTGTCTCCGACACGGTAAAACACTGAACATGTTTTACCCTGCATGGTGACGGCGTTTGCCGCACGCAGCTTTATAGTATGTCAGACTGGCGACTGCACCACTAACAATCATAGATCACGCGACATCTGCCGTAACATCACTTCTCGCAACAGGCAGCGACGCTGCATATTTGCAGGAACCCCTTTGCGTGCGTAAATGAAGGGGCCCTGGGGCACACAATACATACACACAAATAAAAGGATTCCTCATATTTTCCTATATTTTCTGGGTTTTCGTCTTCCCCCCCACTGCCCATATTTTTCCACATTTTCCTGGGAATCGACGATTCATTGTGTCTGTGTGTTGTTTCCCCTCCTGAGTAAAACTATGATTGCAGGGTTCATCCTTGTCGTCCGAAGGAAGAACCTACAGTGCATGGGACCACACTGTACGGGGGGGGCGAGGAGGGGACGGGGGGGAGCGGACCGGGAGGGATAGACGAGAGGGAGATATTTTGGGGAGAGGAAGAGGGTGAGAGGAAAAGGGAGGGGGAAGAGGGGATGGTAAGAGAGGAGGGAGACAGGGAAGGGGAAGAGGGGAGAGGAAGAAAGAGGGACAGGGAGGAGGGAAGACGGGGAGTTGAAGAGAGGAGGGGAAGAGGGAATGAGGAGGCGGGCGGGAGGGAATGAAGCGGCGAGGAGGTGGAGGCCAATGGGAGGGAGAGTTGGAGGGCCAAGCCTGACAGAAGAAAGGAAGGAAGGAAGGAGGAAGGAGGGTGGATTGGAGTGGCGGGGAGGGGCGGGGGGATGGGTCTCAACGGTCCCCGGGAACGATGAGGCATAGTTTGTCCGCTTCGTTGTCCCAACTTTTTTCAGCGTCGCGGTTTTATTGCGGTTCCGAGTCTGGCCCCGATTCCTGCGCAGCTGCTTGTTTTCGTGTCGGTTTGTCCTGTGCAAGATCTTCGGCACCGCCTGTTTTCTGAGCCCTCCGGCCGCCTGAGGCCCCGCCCGCCCGCGCCCTGTCTCCCCAATCAGGGCTACCCGCGTCCCGTTTCAGCTCTTGACCGGAAGGGGCCCGCTCCCGACCCGCAGACCAAAAAACGTTCTCGTGCCGGTGAGCTAATTCTTCCGCATCTCAAAACCACGAGCCGCATTTTCCAGCGTCGCGGTTTTATTGCGGTTCCGAGTCTGGCCCCGATTCCTGCGCAGCTGCTTGTTTTCGATGCCGGTGAGCTGCTTCTTCCGCATCTCAAAACCACGACCCGGATTTCCCAGCTGTGTCAGGAGCGCGAGCAACAACTCCGAAAGGGGAGGGGGCTGTGGAGCGCACGAAGGGAAGGGGAGGGGGCGAGGGCTCTTCCTCCTCGCAGACCAAAAAACGTTCTCGTGCCGGTGAGCTAATTCTTCCGCATCTCAAAATCACGAGCCGGATCGTCCAGCTGTGCCAGGAGCGCGAGCCACGACTCCGAAGGGGAGGGGGCCGTGGAGCGCACGAAGGCAAGGGGAGGGGGCGAGGGCTCTTCCTCCTCGCCGCTCTTCGCCTCCTCCTTCTCTCCTCCTCGTGGCCGTCGACTCTCTCTTCTCCTCCTTCTCCTCCTTCTCCTCCTTCTTCTCCTTCCTTCTCCTCCTTCTTCCTTCTCCTTCTTCTCCCTCTTCTCTCCTTCTCCTCCTTCCTTCTCCTTATTATTCTTCTCTCTCTTCATTATCCTCCTTCTTCTCTTCCTCCTCGCCTCTCTTCCTCTCCTCCACGTGGCCGTCAACTTCGTCCTCACACCCCCCGCTTCATGATCCGACTCCTCAACCTCCCGTGCCCAACATCTCTCCAACGATCGCGATCGCTCAGAGACAGCCATGATGCAACTAGCAGGCCTGTTGCGCCGTCGCGTCATCCGGCTCCTGCTGGGCACTGCCGCCGAAGGAGTGGATCGTCCTCTGCCAGCACCGGTGGAAAAGAGGAACGGGGCACGCATCTGAAAACTATTGAATCCAAGGGACCCATCGTGCGCTTGACGGGCTATCCTGCAGCCTCTCTAGACAAGCGCGCTCCGCTACCCGCAGAGGAACTGCTCGCAAATGGCCTGGATCCGCCGCGGGGAATCTACGATGCATTTCATCGAGGCACGCACCAATTGTTCGGACGCTTGCGAGGAGGCACTTTGTTGCGAGTCGTGGAGCGCGCTCGATGACTCGCTCTCTCTCTCTCTCTCTCTCTCTCTCTCCTCCACCTCCTCGGGCTGCTCCTCCTCCCCCTGGCCATCGCTCGGACGTCCATTCCCTATGTTTTTGTTCGGTCTCGTGCGTGTTTTTTTCGCCAAGTGATCAGGAATGCTCCTCGATTGTCCTCGCCGAGAAAAAAACACACGTCCGAGCGATGCCAAGCTGCAGCGAGCTTCGCAGCTTCCCAGCCGGCTATGTGCCTGTCGCCCTCCTGGCCTCTTCGCTGTCAGGGCTCGGCCGCCGTCTGGCGATCGTGGAGACACGGCACCACCGGCACGCTGGGCCTTCTCGTTGGATGCGTGGCCAGCTGGTTGCGACGGCGCTGCCTGCTGGCCAACGCGGCACGGCCCCCCTTAATCGAGGTCAGACAAGCAAAGCAGCGTGTGCTGGCGGAGCAGCTGCGAGGACGTCGCTGGAGGAGATTCGCACACACGTTGCCGAGTCACAGGAACTGCAGAAGGGAACCACAAGGGTGTAGTGTAACTGTTTTGGGCATCCAAATACCACGTCTCCCACGACTGGCAGACTCAACCTGTGCAGAATTTCGAAGTATACTTTGGGGCAACGTCTTGAGTCATGTTCGTGAGGCCCGCGAGGACTTTGTATTGATCTTGACAAGGACGGCGGGGTGTCAGCATATTCCCTGCTGTGCGCAGGGCCACCATCCCTGAGGAAACCAATACAACATGCACCTGGCGGCTAGATCTGGATCATTCGCGGCCATCCCGCGATCACTGTCAAGTGGTTTTTGACAGGGACGGCGGAGTGGTGGCGCGTGGCCTGCTGTGCGCAGGGCCACCAGACTCAATGATGGGCATCGGTCTTCGATAAGGATGGCGGGGGCCGCAATGTTTCCCGATGTGTGCTGTCACGTGCGCAGGCGCACCTGACGCACTCTGCACGTGCCCCGAACGCGGCGCACCTGGTGCGGTTGGAGTCTGCGGTACACCTGGCGCACTCGGAGCACGTGACACATCTGGCGCACCAGGCGTGCCTGGCACGCTCGGGCCTCAGGGGTGCCCAGCGCGCCTGGCACGCGTGGCGCACCTCGCCCAAGCGTCGCGCACCTGGGGCCGGCTTTGGTTCCCAGTCTGTCCATCCAAAGACGACCAATGAACATGCTCATGCTCGGGTGATACGTATGTGTAGGGAGGGCGGGTGGGAGTGAGCTAGACGGCTTGCGGGCGGGCGGGCAGCTTGACACCTCCCCCTACCCCCTCCCCTGGACCTGGACGGGGGGGTTCGCGAGCGGTCGGGGCGTCCAACATGGCCCAAGACGGCTCCAAGAGGGCCTCAGAGAGCCCAACATGGCCTCCAAGATGGATCAAGATGGCGCAAGATGCCTCAAGATGGCTTACAACATGCTCCAAGATGCCCCAATAAAGTTCCAAGACGGCTCCAAGTGGTCAACGAGCTTTCCAAGGAAGCCCCGAAGAGGCCAACATCCTTCCAAAGCCAAAGGCAAATCAATGCTTTTTGGATGTTTGGCCCTTTCGCTTCTGATGGCCATCCCCAAGACAGGCCCAAGAGAGCCCCAAGACGGCCCCAAGAGCGCCCCAAGGGGCGATGTTTGGGGCTCCCGTGGGGTGGCGCTAAGTGGAGCTCCCCTCTTGTTTGATCGATTGCCTCCAAGATGGCCCGAAGAGCGCCCCTAGCCCCAAGAGGGCCTCAAGAGGCGCCCAGAAGGCTCCAAGAGGCCTCCAAAAAGCTCCCGAGAAACCCCCAAGAGGCCTCAACATGATCCCCGAGGTACCCAAGACGATTCAAGACGGCCCTGGGACCGCAAAGAGCTTCCCCAGACGTTTCAAGAGGCAGCAAATCCGCCGACCCTGTCGGCGTGTGTGAGGGGCTTGTCCGTTGAAGTCGTCATCTCCGTCATTCGTTGGTCGTCGTCTCTGTCGTCCCCTTTCCCTGCCTCTCCCCTTTCCCTGGGCTCGTCGAAGCTCCCCCTTTCCCAGGGACCTCCTCAGCGCGCCAGCCAAAGCGAAGTTGAGGAACGTCGTAATTGAGTCGAAGGGAAGCCCCTTCCCTTCGATCCCTCCCCCGCCGGGGGAGGGGGGGGGTTGGGGGGCGTCCCGGGGAGGGGGGGGTCAGACGCTCCGATCGGCGCCGGAACCTGCTCCCCGGCGCCCGGAGGCGCCGCCAGGGGGCCCCAGCGACGATCTGAGGGATCTGCGTAGACCTCCGAGTTCTCATGTCCATGACCTTGTTCGCTCCCCTATCGAGGGCTGCGCTCGGACAAGGACTTCGAGGGGAATCCAGCGGTGGCGACGAGGGCCTCGCCATCGCTTGGACGTAGATTCCCTATGCATTTTTCGGTATCGTGCGTGCATTGTTTCGCAACGTGAACAAAAATGCTCCTCGATGGCCCTTGCCGATAAAACAATGCACACGTCCGAGCGATGCCAAGCGGCCTCCCAGGAGGCCCAAAAAGGGGACAGAGGGCGGAGGGTGGCGGTAACTGTCGGCACCTGCTCCTCCTCTGACGAGGGGGCCCACCAGCGTGGGCTGGGCCCCACTGGCCGATTTACCCCCCTGATGGGGGTATAGGCTGCTCTCCTCGGGCTTCGAGGGGCATGTCCCAAACTGAGGTGGTGAGACGGTGGGGCTCGAGATGTGGATGGGGATGGGGATAGGGATCGGTCGGGGGTAATTATAGGTTGCTCCCCTCGGGCTTCGAGGGGCATATCCCCAACTGAGGTGCTGAGACGGTGGGGCTCGAGATGTGGATGGGGATAGGGGGGAGGGATCGGTGAAACGATACGGAACCCAGGCTCCCCGAGCCCAAGGCTCCCACGCGCAGACCTCGAGAGCGCTGGGCCCGGCCTCTCCGCCGCCGGGAGCACCGCTGCACGAGGCGGCCCGCGCGCCGAGGCGGCCGCGGGGGCCGCGGGTCCTCGCGCTGCCGGCATCGCCGGCCTCGGGGAGGCGGCGGCCAGCGCCGAGGGCTCCGAGGAGCTAGACGAAGGAGGAATCGAGGCAAAATCGGGCCGATACCAGGGGAACGAACGATGACATTCACGTACGAAACCCGGATGTCCGCGCGGATTTATGATAACCCGTGCTGGACCCCGCGGAGAGCGCCAGGGGCGGCGCTGGAGGCGCCGCCAGGGGGGTCCAGCGCGGATCCGAGAAATCCGCGCGGACCTCCGAGTTTTATGTTTATGTCATTGTCCGTTCCCCTTGATACACAGTCAGCCCTACACCCTGCGAAATGCTTAAGAAATCATGGGTTAAGAAATTCATAGTCTCAGAACTTGAGTAGAAGCCCAGCATTTCCATCGAAATCTTAGGATGTACATGGAAACATTAAGAATAATCGAGACCCTGGCCGAAAACTTAGGTTTTCTTAACCATCGCCTACGGTGTAGGCCAGAGGAACGCTCCTCAAGAACAAGGGACCCTCCGCCGGTCAAAACACACATAACATCCGAGCGTACCCTCCTCCGGGATGCACAACAACGCCCAACAAGCACGAAGAGCACTAGGGTACCATCCCCGAACCGACTTCGATCTTATACTCGGGTCTGACTGTAAGATGAAGGCAACATCGAGACACCACCGCGCCGATCTGCAGCCGACCCGTGTGATAATTCGGCGGTGGACAAACCTCCCTTTAGAAGACCTCCCCTTAGTGAAAACGGCCTGGGACCCAAACCGACGGACCTGGACCCGCAGAAATGACAGCCGCGACGCCCTCTCGCGAACCGAAAACGGCCAATTCCTGAATCGACGTGTCAGGGTAGGAGGTCTGCCCAACCCCGAATAATGACGCACGAGAAAGATGTGAAGGCCTTGGGCGGCCACGCCGACACTTTGTGGGCGGGGCGCGGCCAGCGAAAGTGGCCACGGACGGGCCGAAGGGAAAGGACGCAAATGAAGGGGCCCCAGGACACACAAATAAATACACACACAAAAACAAATCCATATATGTTCCCATATTTTCTGGATTTCTGTCTCCCCCGCACTTCCCATATTTTCCCATTGTATCTGGGGATCGACGATTAATTGTGTCTGTGTGTTTTTTCCCCTCCTGAGCAAAGGAAACCTAGGAGAATGGCACATCCTTACTGCGCGGGTGGACTGTACATCGGAGAAGCTCTGAGAATCGGCGGGTTTCGAGGATGCACCGGGCGCCGCGGCCGTTCCAGAACGTCCCGGAGCGCTCTGAGAGCGTTCCGGGACGCTCCGGAGTGGACCTGTCTGGACTCGAGGCCTGTCCGAGGGAGGTCGAGCGGCGAGGGAAAGGGCCCTGAGAGCCCCGACACCACTCTGCCCCCGACGAGCGCCTCGCGCCAGGGGGCTCCCACAGAAGCAGAGAGGGGACCACAGAAGAGCCCTGCAAGGGGGACGCGAGGCCCGGTCCGGCAGCCCTTGCGCCCGAGGCTTCCTCACAACCCGATCTAGGAGTCGCGCCCTCGCTGGCATTGTGGATGCCACGACGATGGACACCCTAACAGTCCTATCATTGAATTTAAAATAAAATCAAGTGGCACGTGCGCCATGGCTCTTGCACAAAAAGGAAAGGGGAGGAGGAGGATGTGGAGGAGGCGGGGGGGGGAGAGGATGCCAGACATCGCAGAAGGAGCGAACAAAACAGGGCCGCAAGAGGGGCTCCAGAGGGCGAGCGCGAGGAGATTCCAAGGGCCGTCCCCCGCAAGATGGCTTCAAAGACCTTTGACGGGTTCCCAGGAAGCCTCCAACTGACGCCCGAGAAGCCTACAGAGGGTTCCAAGGGGAGGCCTCCAGGGTCCAAGGAGGGCTGGAAGAAATTACTGAGCGGACTCAGCTGCTGGGGGCTCGCGGTGCAAAGTGCGCGGCGGCCTTGTGTTGCGAACGCTTGTCCAAGGCAGTCGCTTTGCACGCAGAGTCTGTCGGGTGCATTCTCGGGGGCCGGCTACGCGCCACTTGAATGGGGGCCTCCCCCACAGACCAGACTTTCGGCCCGGGGCGGCGGCGGCGACGACGACGGCGACGACGGCGGCGGCGTCGGTGGCGACGGCAGCGACGGCATCGGCGGCGTCGCGGGAAGAGAGAGGGGACGGGTAGGGAGGGCGAAAGGGGCAGGGCTGAGCGGGGGTGGTGAGAGGGCCGGCGACGGCGGCGACGGCGCCGAGACGGCGCGGGGG